GGCAGGCATGCCGGCAGACAGAAACTCCGAGTAACACATAAACATACGAACAGAAAACCCATTGAATTGTTTAACTAATGCAAAGTGACGAAAAATCGGTTCTCTGAGTATATAAAACGACAAAGGGATTTTTTTTAAAGTTAAGTTTAGTCTGAGTAAAGAAAGGCACATCATCAAGACGATAACAATCATTTATTAGTGCCGGGGAAAAGCAAGATAGAAGAGACAGAAACAAAAACCAAAAATAAAACCAAGGAGAAAAGAAGGGTATGAGCTTCCTTTTTCAGTGGCGTCCTCCAACCACCCACCTAGAGGAATCGGTGAATGACAGAAAGGACAGACATACGAGTATAAGATCAAGAGCAAAGATAATGTTCTGTGGCTCATTTTAGAAAAATAGATGGATGAATGAAAAAACTATATAATGTCATCGTATGTGTTGAAGAAAATTTGAATAGATTGTTGGATGGATGGGTAAAAAACTGGATAGACAGACAGGGGGACAAACAGTTGGATGAGTGAGAGGGTGGGACTTGAGAAAAGAGTAAATCAATTAGTGAAAGAGTGATCGAATAAAAAGAATGGTAAAATGATGCAGAAAAATTAACGCATATTATTGTGTGAGTTTAGGAGAGAGAGAATGTTTTAGTGGCTGAATCAATGCATGAATTGTTGATTCTATAAAAAAAACAAAACCCCACCATAAACGGATAATTGAGTAAGCAAGAGAGTGTAATTTTGAGTAAAGGAATGTATGAACGTTAAAATTAGTAAAGATAAAATTAATAAACGTGTAAGTGAACGAGTGAGTGAGCAAAACATGAAGTGAAAAGTTAAATATAGAAAAGAGCAAAAAGAAAGGGACGACTGAATGATAAAAATAGGTAAACGTATGAATAAATACGCATGAATAAATGAACAAGTGTTTATTTAAACTGAAGACCGTTAACCCCGGATCTTTGAAATAGCGTGAGGCGAGGTGGCCAGATAAGGGGGGACCTGGTGCGGGAATTTCGGGAGATGGGGAGATTGTTGGAACATTAATGTGCTGAATGTTTGGACGATGTCTCCCTTCTTTCCTTACCCTTCTCTGTCTCTCTTTCTCACTCTGTCTGTCTCTGTCTGTCTGTCTGTCTGTCTGTCTTTCTGTCTGTCTGTCTGTCTGTCTGTCTGTCTGT